AGAATAAAGTATTTATATTTTGTGCGGCGAACAGTAACCCATAACAACTAATCAACAATTTCTTCTACACTCATACATACACACACATTGCATATACACAAAAAACACCACGAATAAAAAAACATTTTTTAAATAAATTCCCCCTCTTGCTTTACTTAGTAACTCTAAATAGCCCCCAAATCTTGTTCCTTTAAATTCAATAGACTAGAAAATCGGAATGAAATTGTTTTCGAAAGATGTTTTTCAAATGCATCACTATCCAAATTATCGGGTATGAATGTCTTATTTGTCATATCAAAGTAGGAGCGTCCTCGTTTCACCGGCACCGAATAGTGCTGCTGCGTCAACGCCCCATCGGCGACACCACCGCTGCCATTTTGACTATTCGTCGCAAGGCTAGCGGTACAAACAGACTTACGTATGTTCAAGGTGAAACGTAAGTCATTCTCATAACGCAAGGCCTGCTCAGTGGTAGCAGTCTCGATGAGTGGACGTGGCACATCATAACCAGGTGGTGGCTGTTGGAACTCCATGATAAATGTGGCGGAGAATTCGCGACTGCTCGGACATTCCTGTGTGTCGTAGCACATTTTAGGTGGTTGCCAGAGATGGTCCAACGAGTCTGGCTCGCCAAACTCAAGGCCAGCGGTTAGATCGGGCTGTGAAATGCTGGTCAATTTAGCTTCATCCAAGCAATACATCGGATTGGAAATGGCACACGATTCCATTTCAATAGGAGGAGTTTTTCGAATTGTGAAGCTAGATATTTGAAGGATGGTCGCGAGTTAGGATCATCCGTACAGCATGTGCGCACAATGGAATAACTGTTGGGGAGTGGAAGTGCAATAAATTTTATTTAGTTCAGTTCATACACATATAATTTAAAGATTCCTCTGTTTAGTCACATTTCTTCTGAACAGTTCTCTGGTCTTTCCATGCGATAGCCAGTTTTCAATAAATGATAGAGATTCTGTGGCGGTATGCCCGGATACGGTGAGGCACCCAACGTAATCAGCTCCCGACAGAGCACGCCAAAAGCCCACACATCCGATTTGGTGGTGTAAACATGATC